TTTTTTTTTGGTGTCGAGTTTTTGTTTTTGTCCCACATGCAGAACAACGCACTTTCCAAGGCAGCGCAGCGCGACGGGACGATTGGGTCCTCTTTCCGCCTTTTCGGCCTTTTTGGCCTTTTGGGCACGGCCACACGCAACCAGGCAAAGCCAAGCAAAGCACACCTCGGCCTTGTCAAGGCGACCTTCCACGTCGAGGATATGCATCGCAGCTCTTTCTTCCCCACCTCACTCTACCTCCCCCCCCCTCCCTTCAATCTTGCCGCACAGCCTCGCCGCTGTACAACGGCAGGCCCAACCTCTACGCCCAGCATGGACGCGCTCGTTCAGGTATTCACCCACTCGTTGGACCCCAACCCCAACGCTCGCAAGGCCGCCGAGCTCGAACTCAAAAAGGTCGAGTCGCAGGATGGCATGCTCTCCTCGGTCTTCCAGATCGTCTCCTCCTCTCAGCTAGATCTCGCCGTCAGGCAGGCATCCGCCATCTACTTCAAGAACCGCGTCCGCAGGCACTGGGATGTCACCCCTGTCCGCGGCGGCCCCGCCGTCGTCGTCATCCCGCAGAACGACCGCGAGGCGATCAAGTCCACCATCCTCACCACCCTCGTCGAGGCACCTGCACAGACCCGCGTCCACGTCGCAAACGCGCTCGGCACCATCGCACGCTGCGACTTCCCCGACTCCTGGCCCACGCTCATGGACCAGATCGGTCAGCTCCTCCAGAGCCAAAACCCCAACGAGGTCTACGGCGGCCTCCGCGCGCTCCTCGAGGTCGTACGCGCCTACAGGTGGAACAACGGCACCAAGATGATGGACCAGCTCGCACCCGCCACCCTCCCGCACATCCTCCACACCGGCAACAACCTCCTCAACTCGGACAACGCCTCCTCCCAAGAGGTCGGCGAGATCCTCTACCTCATCCTCAAGGTCTACAAGACCTCGATGCACACCGAGCTCACAAAACACCAGCAGTCGCACGAGTCCATCGTCCCCTGGGGCACTTTCCTACTCAACGTCGTCCAAAAGCAGATCGACCCCTCGGCGCTCCCCGCCGACGACGACGCACGCGAGGTGGCTCCGTGGTGGAAGGCCAAAAAGTGGGCCTTCCACTCGCTCAACAAGCTCTTCTCGCGCTACGGCAACCCGTCCCAGCTGCCCTCGGACATGAAGGCGTACAAGCCGTTTGCAGAACACTTTGTCGCCACCTTTGCCCCCGAGATCCTCAAGGTCTACCTCCGCATCGCCGAGGCCAACAGCCAGTCCAACCTGTGGATCTCGAAAAAGGCCTTCTACTTCCTCTGCATGTTCTTCACCGAATGCGTCAAGCCCAAGTCCACCTGGGCGCTCCTCAAGCCCCACGTGCTCCAGCTCACACAGTCCTTCCTCTTCCCGCGCCTCTGCTTCAGCGAGGAGGACGACGAAATGTGGGAGCTCGACGCCGTCGACTTTGTGCGCGCCAACCTCGACCCCTTTGAGGAGATTGGCAGCGTCGCCGGCTCCGCAGCCACCTTCATCCAGACCGTCGCGAGCAAGCGCACCAAGAGCGCCTTCATGCCGCTGCTCGAATTCGTCACCGAGGTGGTCAACGCCTATCCGGCGCAGCGCAGCGCCAAGGACAAGGACGGCGCCTTCCACCTCTGCCGCGCCATGGACCTCACCATGGTCAACCACGAAAAGGTCTCGCACATGCTCGACGGCTTCTTTGCACAGCACGTCATCCCCGAGCTCAAGAGCGAACACAAGTTCCTGCGCTACCGCGCCTGCGACCTCGTCAAGGCCTTTGACCAGAACGGCATGCAGTGGTCCAACACCGCCACCCTCGAGGCCGCCTTCCGCGGCGTGATGGAGTGCATCGGCGATGCCGAGCTGCCAGTGCGCGTCGTCGCCGCCGAGGCCATCGGCTCGCTCATCGACCACGACGAGGTGCACGCCGCCATGGCGCCCAACGCCGCGCGCCTCATGCAGGAGCTGCTCAAGCTCTCGGACGAGACCGACCTCGACATCCTCTCGCCCACCAAGTCCAAGGTGGTTGCCAACTTTGGCGACGAGCTGCTCCCCTTTTCGATTCAGCTCACCGAGCAGATGGCCGAATCGTACCTGCGCCTCGTCAACGAGAACCTCGAGACCGCAGAGCGCGATGCCGACGGCACCATGGAGCTCAACCTGGACAACCACGAGGACGACAAGCTCTTCGCCGCCATGGGCTGCCTCAACACCATCTTCCAGATCATCGCCTCGGCCGAGAGCAAGCCCGAGATCTTGGAGAAGCTCGAGGCGGTGGTGCTGCCCATTGTGGCGTACACGATCGAGAAGGACTGCGTCGAGCTGTTTGACGACTGCCTCGAGCTGACGGACACGCTGACCTACTACCAGAAGAAGATCTCGCCGGGCATGTGGCACATCTTCACGCTCGTCTACAAGAGCTTCAAGGGTGCCGGCATCGACTACCTCTCCGAGATGCTGCCCACCATCGACAACTGCGTCTCGTACGGCGTCGAGGTGGTGCAGCAGTCGAGCGAGTACAAGGCGATGCTCGTCGACATCTTCCTCACCGCCATGACGTCCGACCAGCTCGGCATGACCGACCAGGTGGCGGCGTGCAAGCTCGCCGACGTCATCCTGCTGCTGCTGCGCGGCGGGGTGGATGAGGCGCTGGCGCAGATCGTGGGTGCCGTGCTTCCGCACGCGCTCGACGACGAAAAGGCCAAGGCGGACGTGCGCAAGTGGTCGATCATTGTGGTTCTCGACGCGCTCGTGTACAACGCCTCTGCCACGCTGCAGGTTCTCGAGTCGGCCAACGCCACCACGGCGCTGTTTGGCGCCATCACGTCGCTGCTGCCCAAGCTGACGCGCGTGCACGAGAAGAAGGTGGCGGCCTCGGCCATCATCCAGCTTCTCGCTCTCGAGCCTGCGTCGTTGCCAGCGGCTCTGCAGTCGAACCTGGCTCCCTTCCTGGTGGCGCTGGCAACGCAGCTCGACGGCCTGCCCGAGGCGATCAAGAAGCGCAACGAGCTGCTCGAGGCGTTTGAGAACGACGAGGACGAGGACGAGGACGAGACGTCGTTTGCGTCTTCGTCGGGCGCGCCCAATGTCGACACGAGCGGCTACGAGGATGTGGATGACGACCGCGACGTGGTGGACGAGGACAACGAGTATCTCGAGATGTTTGCACGCGAGCGCGCCAAGCTCCGCGCGCGTGCCAACGGCGAAGACCTGGACGAGGACGACGAGGACGACGAGTTCGATGAGGAAGACGACGAGGACGACGAGCTGAGCTACGAGAGTCCCATGGACGCCGTGCCTGTCTTTGAGCAGTTCCGTGCGCTGCTGCAGAGCTACCAGACGCAGCGTCCGCAGGTGTGGGCCGGCATCGCCGCACAGCTCACCCCGGACCAGATGCAGCTCATCCAGAACGCCGCCGAGGGCAAGGACGAGCGTGTCAAGACACTCTGATCCCCCCCGCACACAAGACGTGCTTCTGATTTTGGTTCCTAGATATCCCCTCGTTGTTAGAAAACAAGCTTTCACCAAATGCTGTGCTTGATTCTGCGCATTGTGCTGACGCCGAGATCCCGAAAGAAGCATGAACATTGCTGCGGGGTGAGATGGGGTGTCAGGTGGCACGTTGGTACTGATCTACGAGGGTCTGCGCCTCGCTTGGCGGGAGCGGGAAAGCCAGCCCTTCCTCGCTGCTATCTTGGTGCTTGACAAGTCCGCGTAGCGAGATATCGTATACCACCTCCTCGATCTTCTTGACGTCGTACTTTCATCCACTCGCAATGTCAGTCAACCTTTCTTCCTCGCAGGAGGGTTGGTTTGGGTAGGTACATACCTTGATCCCGTCGAACCGTTTTCTGAGGCTGTCGTTCTTGAGGTTCAACAGCTGGAAGCCTGCATGGACCTGTTTGACAAAGCTCGCTAGTCGGACGGGGGTGCGGAAGTCACCCATGGTGACCCTGTTGACCGCCAAGCGCGGTAGCTCGTTGAGCATATTGATGATGCCGTGCAGGTAGTCTTCCGTGGCCACATGCACGCTTGCCTTGCCCTCGTCCACGCCCATCACCTGTTCCACCTGCGTCTTGGTCACCAGACTGCCCGTGCTCAGCAGCACAAGCAGCGCGATGCTCGATGTGACATTCCTAACCGCCCCCGAAAAGTCGTCACACCACTAAAACCCCCCGCCCCGGTCCAATTCGTCAGCCTCTTTTGTCACCTGCAATGTGGTGCGCGCAGAACTTACACGATAAAACTGGCCTTGCGGAACCAGCTCCGCCAATTCGCCCACCCTTTGCCTGATCTTGACTACGATGGGTTGCGATTCGGACACGATCTGCTTCTCTGCATCCTTGGTCGAGTGCACGCTGTTGAGCAGCAGCGCAAGCGAGCGGTGGCATCGATCGAGCTCCTTGGCCTGCTCGCGAATCGCGTCGGACCGCGACCGTTCCGCCTCGAGCTCTGCGAACAGCGGCTCGAACTGTGCGGCCACCGAGGTGCGCGACGTGTCCGCAGCGTCCGCCATGTCCATGTGTCGCCTGTTGCTTGGTGTGTGCGGTGGGTCGAAAAGGCCGACTTTCCCGCTCGCGAACGGCAAGGGTGCGAGGCCCAAATATCTCGGTCCCAAAATCTCGGATCTGCCGTAGGTGGAGGGAAGGGGGGGATGTTACATAAGCATGTGTGGACATGCGGGGCGCCTAGAAGAGCAAAAAAAAGCTCGTGTCGGAGGGATGGTGGCCAAAAAAGTGAAATTCCAACAGCAGCAGCAGCCCGAAACTTTTTCTGCAGGGTAGCCGAATGCCGCTGCAAATTTCGCCCGGCCAGTGGCTGCAAACCCTGAATTGCACAGCGCAGCGGTTGCCATCAGCCCATCCGACATCCACCACCACTCTGCGCAAAATACTCAGGATGCCTGCCAAGACCAAGACCACGGCGGCTGTGGCCACCAAGCCAGTGGTAGCCTCTCCTTCTTCCCAGCAGATCGGCGTGGCCGCATCGAACATCGACCAGGCGCAGGTGCTCAAGGCGTTCAGTGCGCTGGCTGCGCACATTGCGCGACGCAATGGCGCCTCGTCGTCCGACTTGCCTCTGGACGGGCCACAGGGTGATGTGCGCGATGCGAGCAATGCGGTGTACCTGCAGATGACGCTGAACACGCTCCATCCCACGTCGCACGTCAAGCCGGTGCGCATCAATCTGCCGCACGGGCTGCACACGCCCGGCTCGACGTCGGTGTGTTTGCTGGTGAAAGACCCGCAGCGCGAGTACAAGGACCTGCTCGTGCAGCACAACATCCGATGCATCGACCGTGTTGTTGGAGTCACCAAGCTCAAGGGAAAGTTCAAGCCCTTCGATGCAAGGCGGGCGCTTGTGCAGGAGCACGACATGTTCCTTGCTGATGCACGAATCGTCCCTACCCTCCCCAACCTGTGCGGCAAGGTGTTTTTCGATGCCAAGAAGAACCCCATCACCGTCAACATCCAGAAGAACGGCGATGCGCTCAAGGCCGAGCTGGAGTCGGCGATCAAGGCGACCACGTATACCCAGAACAAGGGCAGCTGTACATCCATCAAGCTCGGCTTCCTCGCCAGCCACACGCCCGAACAGCTGACCGACAACCTCATGGCCGCCCTGCCCGCCGTCCTTTCGCGCGTCAAGGGCGGTTGGGAGAATGTGCACAACCTCGACGTCAAGACGGGCAATTCCGCCGCTTTGCCCATCTGGAACGCCAAACTCGGCCTCAAGACCAACGTCTCCCCCTCCAAACCCCTCGCACCCGAATCCACACCAGACAAGAAGCAGAGCAAGATGGACAAGGTCGAGACGCCAAACAAGTCGGTCTCGCCACGAAAAACCCGCGCTGCTGCTGCAAAGGCCGTCCAGGCCGCCGACAAGCCTCAACCCAAATCGACCACCAAAAAGTCGGCCTCGTCTACTACCCGTGCTGCACGCAAGACAAAGTAGTCTCTCCCCCCCCCCAAAAGTTGTCTGGCATGTATATAAGGCTCGCGCAAGATTGAACCTTTGCATCACATTCCCACGCCCAAACACCCCGCTTACTGCCAGTCATCGGAGCACCCGTGAGAAGGCAGCACTTTGCACACGCCACAATGCCCGAGGGAGGAGAAACCTTTTGAGCTCACGCACCCACACCACACCCTCGCCAGGAAGGGAGAAGGAGGCTGCTTACACACGCCATTGGGGCGGCAACAAATTTGGGGGGAATGAACAAGAGCGAGAGCGAGACGAGACGAGACGCCGCCAACGCACGTCGAGAATGTCGCTGCGGGGCGGGGCGCGCTAGAACATGACATAGGTGATGGCAAACACGGCAAAGGCGATGGCGGCGACAATGTGGACGGGCACGCCGTCTGCGCTGGCGACCTGCGTGTTGCCCGAGCCGCCGGCGCGCTTGGCCTGGTCGAGCTCCTTCCTGAGGCGCGCCACCTCGGCCTGCAGCTCCGACTGCGACAGGCTCGACGTGTCGCGGTTGGCGGCACTGGCGCCGTTGACCGCGCCCGAGCCGGCGTTGCGCGCGGCAGCCACCGCCGCACCC